CTTAGCCTAACACAACTTGTTCAAAAGGCTACAAAATGTAGGGGTGGTAGCTTTTCAAAGAGTCTGTAGAGTTCCTAGGTTTTAGGAGGGACTCCAGATAATCTAACCCAGAGATCGTGTATAAAAAAACATGTGTAATGGAAATAGTCGCGGCATAACTTTGTGATCTTTAACGACAAGCTTTTCCAACAACAACACCACAATTCTTTCAATCACACATACTTTGAGGTATGTATAATAAATTCGGTTGTTCACATAAATCAGAGCTACGAAAGTCGAACCAAGACCCCGATTTTAGAAGGGTCGTATTGCTGCACCATGCTTTCGACACCATTTTCACCCTGGTTCTGTATCATTGCCACGAATTCTGTCGCTCCTGAACTCGCAGTGAATCCGACCGACAACCCGACACACCAAGTTAATGTTTGAAATATGGAGGGGTCGCACGACGTTTCGACCAGATCCTAAGTGCATTGAAATCCTGCTCACCAAAAGCAGGTGACAAACTGCGAATCCAGCGAATCGCGGGGTAGAGCGAGACGCCAGCGTTTCGAACGACATTCCCGTACTGTCGAGTCGATGATGCTTCGTCAGAATCGCTGGTGCATCTCTAGTACTCTGCGATTCGCTGAATCCGCAAAGGGACACCGGTGGATAGCTAGCATTATAACCCCAAAAGTACGTTAACAACGAGATTTTATGAAAGGAATTGGGAACTACTCACACTTTACATTATTGTTTTTGAAGTAGCCAAAAAGCCATATCAGATACTCATCCTCAAAATTTCAGTGAAAATATTATTGGGTTCCACTTACAAAATTTTTTTCTCTTTTCACTCCTTTTAATTGGTTGACGACCATCTGATTGGGTAAAATCGGTGGAGACTTCTGTATAATATCGACGAGTGCTTTTCCAATTTCTTGGAAATTTGGCCGATATTCTGCCTTCAGAATCCTGAAATGAATAGTTGAAATTAGAAGAGTGCACATGCACCAATGTTATCATTTTAACTAGTTATGCATAGAAACGACGCATTGACTAAAGAGGA